CCTGGCTTGAACCAGAGCTGCTCCCGCTGGGCCAGGACTCTGGTTTGGATCCAGCCTGTCTGTAGCATTTCTCACATGAGGCTAAATGCAGTTCATTTTATAATCAACTGAATAGAGCCAATTCAGTTTAGGTTGTCTGTGGCACCCACCGTGGTGTCTTTTTCTTTTTTCACATTTGAGTCTGTATCGCTCAACAATTAGGAGATGGGGACACCCGCAAATATTGAAGGGTATTTCGCACACTGGTGGCAGCTCCACTTGTCTCGTCTGTCAGCTTCAACCAGGATCTGATACAACTGAAGCTCTGTGTCTTTATCTCTGCTGATTACAGCTCTCTGTGCAACACTTTTTTGGCATGTGTCTTAATGCGAACAACTCGAAAATGTACTCACTTTACAACGGCGGTCTGTTACATGCAGGGTCTCTATAGACACATACTTTATTTATCTCAAAGGAAGAAAAAAAAACTGAATGAAAAAGTGTGTCCAGAGCATGACTGGTGATGTATGTTAGGACTGCACAATTTACGATTTGTACATAAATGAACGTTTCTGTACATGCACTCGATTTAGTCAATGTGCAGATGTGACAAATACACAGACACCATCACCTTAAAAATAGTTCAAACAATGTACATACAAAACAACTTACAACTATTTACATAGACAGTTATAAAACACATGCACAGACAGACATGTTCAGAAACATTTAGAGCATAGCTTAGACTTAAAAGAAGACAGAAAATGAAGAGCTCCAGGACAGACATGAACTGAGTCAGTGTGAGCTGTGCTGGTTCTCATTTAGCCATTTCTTTAATGGGTCTTAAAGGGCCCATATGACCAAACCTCCTTGTCAAAGCCTGATCTATTATTAAAAAATATTATTACACCAACACTGCACAAGGGGTCAGCATTTGGATATTGGATTAAAAAATACTACAAAAAATAAAAATAAAAAAATGCTAACCATGAGTCAGCATTGGTACTACTTCATACTTTTATGCACCTGTCCTAGGGAGTTTGCCAGAACAGGCTCAAATTTGGTACACATTATCTCAAAGGGTGGGACAAAACCTATCCACATTTTTTACACGTCTTACGGTCTCTGAGCAGTAAAGTGACAAAAAATGCACCAAATTTTTAGGAAATTTTTGATTTTTCAAATTGCTCCCATTTGTACAAACTCCGATTTCAGTGAAATTTGAAACAGCTGTTAAACTCCCTGTCCTAAAGCTGCTGAATGTGAAAGACTGAAATAAAAAATGTATATGGTGGAGAAAAAAAAACATTTCTGAAATTTTGCACAAAATCACATTCCTGATTCAAAAAGTCAATGACACCCATGCCATAATTTTTACTGCATTACCATAGTGATGACATAAACTCTCAATGGTAAAATAATGGTAAAATGGTAAAATCTGTAAAAGTAAAAGTCTTGCTATCTTCACTGAACTAAAGGTAAAAAAAAGGCTGTTAACTTGAAAACTACTACTTCATGACATCAAGGACAGAGCATTTTGAGTTCTGGAGACAAAGATGCACATATAAGACAACACACAACTCCAGGTATGTTTTTAGGAGGTAACAACATTCTAACATGGCTTAAAGCAGAACTAAGTAACATTTTTACCTTAATTAATGTCTTGTCCTTCTAATGGTCTCATATGACATTTTGGGGTGTTTGAAGGGTAGGCAGCGGTCTCTGGGCGGAAAAACCAGACATGCAACTTGGCTGCACAAGGAAAAGAAAACATGAATCAGACAAGGCCCAAGCTCGTACAGAGTCAATCTGGGGAAGGAGTTTGAGGAATTGCAGAGCTCAAGGAAAGAGATCTGCTGATATGCCGATATGCATTGCTCGTATCATAGTTATAGTTATGCAATTTGAGAAAATGTTAGCTTTCGTATGCAGTTATGTTGTTCATAGATGCTACGTTTTTCAGTGTAGCTCTGAAGCTGAACCATTGGACTGACACATGCTTGTATACATCCTTTGATTTGAGCGGCTCACGTCTCATCTGCATTCAGGACATGTACAGTTTGTGTTATCAATGAGCAAAAACAAGTGCAATTCAGTCTGTAAGTGCGGCAATGAACAACTTTAGCCCAGATGTAAAATCATTAACAGTATCACATTTGTGTTGGATCAACCTGTTTGGAATTTCGAGGGGAATTTAGAATGCTATTATTTATTTAAAGAGTACAATAACATTACCCACCTGAGATATTTTGTTGCATACAGTGTTCATCGGTTTTGTGGAAACAAATGTGAGGCTCAGCTGAGCGGTGGGGAGGGTATTTATGACAGTGCATTTTCACAAGCGAGCTGACTACTGCTGAAGTTACTTAGTTCTGTTTTAAAGCTCACAAGACTCAATTTTGCATAATATAATAATCTTTAAACATATTGTAAGTTGTTGCTTCAGTGATAATGGGGATAGAATGATGAGTATGATCAAGAATTATTTAAATGGAGGTAACAGACCGTTTATGAGTCTCAGAGCTACATCTTCCTTCAGAGCAGTGAGTGTGTCCTCACACAGCCCTGTACAATCAGCCTGTGGACCAGTGTGCACAGCTGCAGCACAGGGCTCAGACTCTCACTGCTCTGCTCAATCACAACACACTCTCATCTCCAACGCCCTCTGCCAGTCTGCCACGTGCACTGATAACACCTTTAATGAGAGCCAATACTCACATTAGAACTAATTCTGTCTGTATGCTGGAATGGTCCAAGGTCGCTAGTCACAAGATGCCATGACAAACATTCAGGTAAATAATAATAGTAAGTGAGTGGATTTTTTCCTGAGAACTGAAGAACAGATGTAAGATCTTTGTCTCCAGATATGAGGGAGACATGTTCAGATCAAATACTGAGAACAATAATCTAATCCTGATTTATTCCTACAAAAAACAATGGACATTTATTTATGTTATACTTTTGTGTTTCAGTTTTCATGATGATTACCTAAACAGAAAGCAGAATGAACCTAGAGTCACTCATTTGAGTTGCCAGTTCCAATGCTGAAATCCAGTAAAAGGACTCTCTGATCTGAATGATCACTACCTACCCACCCAGCACCTGCAGCCAATCCTGAGTCAGTGCTAGTGCAGCCTCTGCAGCTCAGGGAGGGAATTCTGGAGGAGTCCCTCCATCAACCCAGGTTCAGTTGTGATTGTTATAGTGTTTTAAAACTGTAAAAGGACAGGCTACACACAGTTCCTTTTAACGTGTACTTGTACTTGGGTACTTGACATGATGCTCCTTTTTGGCATAATCACTTTAAATTACTTACTAAATATTTTTTTGAACTATGTATTCTATAAATTACATTTAGTTTTACAATGAAGTTGTGTTTTAATTTATTTATATTTTAACATTATACACTCAACTGTCCAGCTCGGGTCCTGACTCGAACCAGGAAGTACGAGCACATATATCCTGTGCTCAGGTCTCTGCACTGCCCCCTGTGGCTCAGAGAATAGACTTTAAAGTGGCTCTGCTTGTGTTCAAGTCTCTCCATTGCCCAGAACTACAGTACATCTCAGACATGTTAGTGCCATCTGAACCATCTGCACCCTGAGGAGCTCAGGGACGGGCTTCCTGCTGGTGCCCAGAGTCACAGCTAAACACGGAGAGCCAGTGTTTCAGATTTGTTTTGTCAGTGTTTGTTTTATGATGATTTTTTTAATGTTTTGATTAGTTTGTATTGTGATTTGAATGTATTTCTTATTCTGTAAAGCACTTTGAATGACTTTGTGTACAAATGGTGCTATACAGATAAACTTCCCTTGCCTTGCCTTACCCGCTTGCAATTTGAGTATAATTGGAGCCAGGTAATTGTAATTGGTGACATTTAACCAATTACTTATTGGCTATTATTAATGGTCGCTCTATCGGACCGTTGTGGTGAAGCGGGAGCTGAGCCGAAAGGCGAAGCTCTCGATTTACCGGTCAGTCTTCGTTCCTACTCTCACCTATGGTCATGAGCTCTGGGTAATGACTGAAAAGGATGAGATCGCAGATACAAGCGCTCGAAATGAGTTTCCTTCGCAGGGTGGCTGGGTGCTCCCTTAGAGATAGGGTGAGGAGTTCTGTCATACGGGAGGAGCTCGGAGTAGAGCCGCTGCTCCTCCACGTCGAGAGGAGCCAGTTGAGGTGGCTCGGGCATCTGTTCCGGATGCCTCCTGGACGCCTCCCTCGGGAGGTGTTCCGGGCATGTCCCACTGGGAGGAGACCCCGGGGAAGACCCAGGACACGCTGGAGGGACTATGTCTCTCGGCTGGCCTGGGAACGCCTCGGGGTCCCCCCGGAGGAGCTGGAGGACGTGTCTGGGGTGAGGGAAGTCTGGGAGTCCCTGCTTAGACTGCTGCCCCCGTGACCCGGCCCCGGATAAGTGGACGAAAATGGATGGATGGAAGGACATTTAACCATTGCCCCTTTCTAAACACATAACAGCACTGCAGCTCCTGCTGTCCATTGTCAGAGCTCAGACAATATGCAGATCTGAAATTAAACTTTTACTACAAATATATTTTTATTTTTAATAAAATAATTTTACTAAAGTATTTGTAACTGACAGATATCAGTGTTCGAAATGAGCTTCCTCCTCAGAGAGGCTGGGTGCTCCCTTAGAGATAGGGTGAGGAGCTCAGTCACACGGGAGGAGCTTGGAGTAGTGCTGCTGCTCCTCCACGTCAAGAGTTCATTCATGAATATTTAGGAGAATAAAAGGATTTGCTGGTAGCTGGCAATAAGTCAACACTATTGGCATTTCATAGTGTTGAAGTGTCCTAGTGACCTAGTTTTACTGTTGTATAGACAGAGATGAACAGAGCTGAAACCTGTTAAAATCACAACAAAATGACATTACTTAAAGATCCTATTTTATGTAAAACAATTCAACATTAGAAGTGTCTTAGTTATAGTCATGCAAAAGCATTGACATTGTGTGAAGCACCCTTATAATTTTATATTAAAAAAATTAGACTAAACATGGATTATTATTTTACCAAAGTGTTTATTACATCCAAACTGGCTGAACAAAATGTCTGTGTGTCTTCTGAAGAATCTTTGTGTTACATATACTCCAGCATCTCTGTCTCCATCTCATTCTCACTGCCTTCTGATGGCTGGAACTCCACATCCTCCTCTTCTTCCTCTTTGGTCTCATCAAGGGCTCCACCAGGCTCATCCTCTGCATCTTCATCTGTACCTTCATCAGGCTCTTCATCGGGCTCTTCATCAGGCTCTCAGGCTCTTCATCAGGCTCCTCCTCGGGGCGTCCACCCTGCTCACTGCTGTCCTCTTCGTACTTCGGAGGGAGTTTGGAGCTCAGGCTGCTGCGCCGTCTCTTTGGCTGTTTCCGCACTAGATGGCAATTTGACAAACACAAATGAAAACTGTGTTTAAAAAAAAGTGTATTGTTTTATATCCTGCTTTCATATATTTATGGAAAATTGTTGTGTGGGAGCATGAGCAACTTGTGGGCTAGTGCATTGGACAGAACTGCCTTACTAAACATAAGGAGGGTTTGAATAGGACCCTGGAGAGATCGCCAGATTACACAGACATGCATGGCTGATCTAAAACCTCGTCAGGCATGTTTTTTGATGCCAATCTGTGCCTTGTGTAGAACATGAGCAGACACAGCCTAAAATAAACCATTTATCTCATTACAACCCTTAGGGCAGTCTGACACTTCCTGGAAAACATTTTTTTCAGTAATATACGACAGAGACACAATATTTGTTTGGACTACTCTAAATTGACCCTACGTATCGGCCCACAAATATCGGCAGAGCTTATCGGCCATCAGTTACTCTGGATTCTAAAGAAATGGCATTGGCCATGAAAAACCCAGATCTTTAATAGGTGATGAACGGGCCCATATCTATTAGGAAACAGGCATTTTATACAATGTCAATAAATAAATTAAACTACCGTATTTTTCGGACTATAAATCGCTCTAGAGTATAAATCGCACCAGCCAAAACATGTGTAATGAAGAAGAAAAAAAAACATATAAGTTGCACCGGACTATAAGTCGCACTTTTTGGGGGAAATGTATTCCCAGTTGCCGTGAAGCTGTGTTCTCCATTTCCGCTTTCCGCCAGTCCCTCACAAGTTTCTCGCTCACTCCAAACTTTCTTTCTGCTGCTCGATAACCGTTTTCTGCTGCATATTTCACTACTTGCAGCAGGACAGTGTTTTTTTCTGCAGGAGATATGCGCAAAAAACTGATACACAAGCCTAGAGCGTCTCAAGGCTGTCAGTCTGAACATTTTAAAATGTAAGTTGCGCCGGAGTATAAGTTGCAGGACCACCCAAACCATGAAAAAAAATGCAACTTATAGTCTGAAAAATATGGTAAACTACTGAAATAGCCTACATAAAAAAACATTTCAATATGAAATAATAAGGCTCAAATGGCAAAGAATATGTGTGCAACCTCTTGCTGTGTTTTATGGGAATGTATTTCATATTGAGATATTGTGTGTATATATGGATTTATAGTTGTAAATGCTTCCCTCTTATTAGTCCATTGCACAAAAATGTCAGTGTTGTGTGAGAGTAGTTTCTTACAGGCCTTGTTCCTCTTGGAGCGGACCACCTTCTTGATGCAGTCAGAGATGATGTCCCTCAGCTGGTCTGTGGTCCCCACCACACACCAGCCGTCACGCTCGTCACACTTCTTCTCCAGGCCTTTGTTCTCGTTCACCACCCTCTGGATACTAACACACACACACAGAGGTTAGTGTACTGCAGGGAAGAGATATAGGTATGTACAGCTGTGAAAATAATGAACAACACTAGAAAAAATAAGGTAAATAAAATTGAAAAAGTGATCAGTAGACCCTTTAAAGGTTGCAAAATTGACTCTCGTGACCTTTAAGCCATGTTAGAATCTTAAAAAAACAGACCTGAAGTTGTGTTTTGTTCTCATTCACACCCTTTATTATTAGTCTGTTTACATCTCCAAAGCTCAAAGTGCCCTTTTCCAAATTGTGATGTCATGAACTGGTAGTTTTCAAGTTAACATCTCCTTTTAACTTTTGTTGGTGAGACTGGCAATTCAGGTCTGAAATTATCCTAATGATCCAGTGAAGGTTTATGGAATTTAAAAAGCACTGGAGTGTTTGAGAGAAGAACTTCTAAATATCATATATAAGAAAGCCTAAATATGCAGGGTATGTGTGTTCAACATGTGTGAATGAAACAAAACACAACTCCAGGTCTGTTTGTGATAAAAAAAAAACAACATTATAACATAGATCAGAAAATAGTATAATATGGGCCCTTTAAACTGTTACTTCTTCAATGATTAATTGATATCAGATCTAAATGCTAATGTCTCTGATATTACTCAAACGCAGCCATTTTAGGATAGAAATATGGAAAAAATAGCTTCTTACAATAAAACATGAGCACAGAAGAGCAGTCAAGTTGGGCTTATCCAGTGTTACCTGTCCACGTGTAGGTCACACAGCTGGTAGAACATCTGTCTGTGAGGGGGGACCATGCCCTCTCTGAATATGTAGGCAGACTCCTGTGTAAAGGAAAGCACAGCATATAACTGACTTTGTATTGCTTTCTTGACACTTATTTAACAATACGTTTCTATTATTTAAGACTTAGCATGTTTTATTATTGCATCATCATGTTTGCACCAAAAGGACAAATGGAAAACAAACAAACATTGACTCACCACAGTTAAACTCATCAACATCATTAAAGGGCCCTTATTACGCTGTTCTCTGATTTATGTTATTTGAATAATTTTAGATTTGTAATTGCCAATCTCTATTAAACAAAAGGTAACACTTAGCTGTTAACTTGAAAACTACCACTACATGACATCACAGAGAGTTACTCAAACATATGAGTGAAACAAAACACTCCAGGTATGTTTTTGATAAGATACATTACATTATAGTCAATTTTGTGTAACATTTGAGAGAAGATGGCAAAATGCTAATATGCAAAATATAACATACTAACACAGACCTATGATAAGACCACAGAGCAACCATGAATGAACTATTGTCTTGAAAATTATGTTAGATACAATTGTATTTACATAATGAATGAATCTGTCAATTCAAAATGTTGAAACATTTAAAGGTCTTATATTATGGAAAAATAAAATAAAAATTCTTGTGAGCTTTAAGCCATATTAGAATGTTGTTATCTCATCAGGAACATCCCTGGAGTTGTGTTTTGTTTCATTCACACGTTTGAGTATTGTATTTTCCAGGCTATAGGGCGCGCTCTTAAGCCTCTAACCCCTATACACAAATCCACTCGAGTGTCTTAGCACGACTTCAGTAAACTACAAAGCCGCACCACTCGCAGTACACGCAAACACACACGGAGCAGACAGCGACCGTGCAGCGAAAAACACCCACAGCCACACTCATCACTCCACGCCGACGAGGAACGGAACGGAGAAACGAACCGAAAAAGTGAGTGCAATGTGCCTTTCTGAGCCACAACTGAGCAAAGCCCAGAGTCACCGTGAACGCGCCAAACAAAGTCCCACTGACCAATCCAACTGTTGTGTTTCGTTTAAAGTCCGGTGCAGTTTATTTGTGAAAAAATATCGAAAAAATAGACCATTTAATGACAGTGCGTGTTATAATCCAAAGCGCCTAATAGCCCAGAAAATACAGTAATCCTGAATTGTCTATATCTATATCTATAAAGTGCTCTGTTCCAACTTGTGATGTCATGAAGTGGAGGTTTTCAAGTTAACAGCTACATTTTACCTAGTTCAGTAGAGACTGGCAATTCCAGAGCTGAAATCCTCTGAATGATTCTAGTGAAGGTGAAATTTAAAACACAGTGAAGAACTTCATGTATGATATCACAAGTTGGAACAGAGTGTTTTCTGTTGGAGAGAAGAACTCAGCCTAAATATGCAGGATTTGTGTTAAACATGTGTGAATGAAACAAAACACAACTCCAGGTCTGTTTGTGATGAGGACACAACCTTGTAACATAGATCAGAAAACAGCGTAATATGAGCTCTTTAACTTACTCCATGGTATACTCATGACTTGTTATTTTCATTTTGTAATGATTTATACACAGTATCATAGTGTATGGAATCTCCTGACCATCATGAACCATATCTAGAGTTTTACATGGAGTGGAGTCTAGACTGACCTTAAGTTTGTATGTGCAGGGGTTTTGTTCCTGGCTGGTCCCTTCCTGATCAGGCAGAGACATCACACTGGCGGCCGGAGGAACTATGAAAACAGGACATACATCAGTACACAAAACACCACAGGATTTACTCTGGCAAGGATACTAGCTGGTTTGAAAGTGGAACTAAACACTAAATCATCAGCATTGTCTACCGTTTCTAGTTCTTATTTGGCTATTTTCTGCAAACAAGGTACAATTGCAGTTTTCTGGTCAAAAACAAACAAACAAGAACTGAGTGTGTGCTGCCTCCAGTGGCCACTGCAGTTTCAAGTACTATGTGACATCACGCAGGACTGGGGCCACCTCTTATTTCTATTTCCTCGCTTCCTTCTCCTTGATTCCTCTCCTCGATTCTGCAGGAAATGTTTAAGGAAGTCCCACCCACAGAGGAGATACAGGGAGGAGACAGGATATAATCTCCTCACTGAGACCAATAGTTTGATGTTTACTTTTTCATTTTGGTTGACAGCTGACAAATGGAGGATTGAGGAGAGGAACCAAGGAGAAGAAAGTGAGGAAAGAGAATTAAGACGTGGCCCGACTGTCCCGATTACAGTAAGGTGTTTCTGATTACAGAAGTGGAATTTGAGAAACAAGAGGTGGATAACTGTTAGACCAATCACACTGTTCATATACCCCAAAACTCCACCCCTCCTTGAGTTTGCACTGAAAGTGGCAAAAAGGAAGTAGGAACAGCAGACAATGCTCTACAAACTCACCATATGCACAGTTTAATGACAAAAAAGGATGATTTAGTGTTTTGTTCTACTTTAAAATGTGTTTATGGGAGGACTTTGTTTTGTCCCACTTTAAAGCTGAGCGCTTAGGAGACCTTTGGTGATGAATTTTAAAACACAGAGGAGCACATTTCGAATTACCACCTAATGTTGTCATGAAGTGGTACAATTTAAACTCTGGATAAATATGCAGCACTTCATAGACACATACAAACATGAAACAAAACATAAATCCAGGTATGATTTTGATGAAGATGCATAAAATAGCTGAATCAAAATATTAATTTAGAATAACTCAATAAACAAACAGTATTTACACAAAGAAAGATGTTCCTAATCAACTATGGCACCTGTTTTGTTGAAAGTGTTGGGCAGGGTGTAGCTGAGAGAACTCCTCTTGGGTTTAACCAACACATCGCTGACAGAATAACCTTAAAAGAGAGAAAAAACAACAACAGATCTTTTTATTTTCAACATACAAAGCGATATCACATTTATTAGAGATTCTTAATATTATGCAGTGTTAAGTCAACCAATTTATTTGTCAACGCTTTTTATTAAAGTCATATTTTTGCTAATGAAAACTAAAATGTGATGACTGTCTATGTTTAAGACAAGACAGCATTATTGTTTTTTCAATTCAAACCCCCTACTCATCCAAGGACCAAGACCAATGAACCCAGGTAAAAAAGAAACAAACAAAAAAAAATAAAAAATCCAGGCTCAAAATGCTGCTGTGCATATGACTGAAAGGTTTATATCCTGCACTCTTCTCTTTCAGTGATGGTTATTTTTGTTTTGATTTGTTTGTGTTGTGATTTTAATGTCTTTCTTATTCTGTGAAGCAATTTGAATTAGTTTGTGTACAAAATGGACTGTACAAATAAACTCGCCTTGCTCAATCAATAAAAATAAAATAATTTCTGTTCCGACTAAAACTTGAAGTACATTAAATTAGCTCAGATGAGTTTGAGAGAGGTGTACCGTGCTTGATGCTGCAGCGGATCCTGAAGTCTAGCATCTGGTACTGTTTGGACTCAGGGCTCTTCCTGGGGTCGTAGCCCAGCCGCACCCATAGACTCCTCCACGGCCCAGTCACCTGCACACAAAAGTTCATTTTACAAATATTACATTTTAATATTATATTACTCCATTTCCTGCAAATCGGAATTTTAGAAATGTGAGTCTCAGCTACATGTGTGTGCTGTCCTTGATGATTTTGTCTAGTACATCACTATACGGGTCTCTTTTTACATCTTCTGACATTATCCAATTCACATCAACAGTGAATATTCCATAGAGCTAAGGATTGTGTCATCACACATTTTCAGTGAGCCTGAAGGAGATATAAGATATTTAAGATGCTAAATACTAGCCTAGTGTCCATTCAAATGTTTTCTGACACTAGAGGGAGAGAGATGGATTTGCCAGTAGTGACCCAAGAGTTAAGTGACCCAAGAGTTAAGTCAGGTTGTTCCACCACGCTTTCATCTACTTTTCAGCATTGTTTTGGCAAATATAGTATCTCTGTGAGAGTTACGCATTACTGCCACAAAGGTTTTCCATGGCAATGACCATTTTTTGATATTCGATCCCAAGCTCTAATTGCAAAAAGGGGAAAGTGTTATAATGACCTCTGCAGAGAAGTGTCTTATTATGTACTATATTAAATGTTTTGATGATTCCACCACTATGTAAGTTACATAGTGACATTTAGTGGGGAGTCCACCATCTGCTTGTCTTTCACAGTACAGCTCAAATTCATGTAGCTTGCATTTGTTCAATTATTTTACTTGTTTTACTGCAAATATAATTTTTTTAATTTTAAACATGCAGGTGGCAGACTAGAAACGTTAAGGGCACATTTAACAGGTCATGTTTCTCTTAAAACATGTCCATCTGACAGCAGCTACAACATCTTAGAAATATTCAGATCAAATTCCCAAATCATTCAATCTGGTTCATAGATTTTGGCAGTTGATTGGCTTTACTGACACAGTAGACATCAATGATTATGTACTCATGCATTAGTCACATTTAGACATAAGACCCTCCATAGTAACAGCATGTTTTCCCGTTACTGATCCCATCATCCGAGTGTGTCCACAGTTCCTTGAATACAATGAACATGATTTCATGTGGACTCACCATATAATAGGCCACTAGGGGCAGCAGCAGCTTGAGCTTGTCCGGGTGCACGTCTATGTTGGCCTTCACAGCATTTCTGGACCAGATGGGCCGCCTCTCAAACATCTACAGGGAACAGCAGGGTGCCAGATAAGATTACACACATTCAGAAAACTTTACATGGTGTTCCTGTTTCAATAACCCTGATATAAGTCAGACATATGAGAGGGGCAGGTGTAACACCAGCCAGGTGAGAAGTACTACATGATAAAATACTAGGTGATAAGAGACTACTGTGGTAGAGTGTACCACCTGTGAAGTACTGTGGAATTGTGTTTGATAACTTTAGATAACTTTATTTAGGGCACAATTAAATTAAAAATGTAACTTTTTATCTGCAATTTTAAAACTACTAATGTATAGCATTAAACTTATCTATCTCCATATTTACCAGTACAAATAAATATGGAATAGGACAGATCTGGAGGATAATAGCTTCCTAATAGCTTCATGTTTGATTCTTCTCAAATCTTTGCGTCTTTTTTTTCTCAACACTTGTCTTGTGACACTGTTGACTATTTGCAACAAAATAGCTGATGGTTCTGTAACCACACCCCAATATCTTTACAATTTCAGGAGAGTTGATTTTTCAGAGTCAGTCAAATCTCTTTTTTGGCCCATTTTGCCTGAAGAAAAGAAGCTGCTTAATAATTCCTCACACCTTGATATAGGATGTTGATCTCCTTAACCCTCAATCGTTACACAAATAACACCGGATCTGCTTGAATCCAACAAGAATTCAAGTTTATACAGCTTGGAGTTGGAGAATATGCATAAAAATCAGGATATGGTCAAAATACAGACTTGCCTGATAATTGTGCACAGTGTCTTTTATTTGCTAAAATACACACAAAATCCTGCAATCTTACTGTGAGTGGGCTCACCTCTCTGCAGATCTGACATGTAACTTGAACTGGCGGCATCACCTGCTTGTCTCCATGGACACACATAAGTTGCCATACTGTGGAGCATTCGAGGCAAAGCAGAGTCATCTCCATGGAGACAAGCAGGTGGTGTACCCTCCAGAAGAAAAGTTATATAAAACCCCTGTCAATAATGTTAATAGTAGAACTTCCCTGAAAAGCAAAAGCAATATCCTAGTTAAAAAAGGTAAATACAGCCTTTTTTGACGATCTGGTCACTCTTTTCAGTGTGAGCCAGTCTATAAGTGATAAAAGCCTCATGCATCTGCTACTAGTCAGGTAGGTATTAGCAGCTATTAGCCACAGGGCCAGTACCAGAGTCAGTACCAGAGTCAGTACCTCTGTGATCTGCTGCTCAGCCCTTCGGTCGCTCTCCTTCACGCACACACGCTGCCAGTTGACTTTGGCCATCTCCATGCACTCATTTGGCACAGGGTCCAGGAAGGTCACAAAGATGGCGTTGTGTGGGCGCCGGGCCCGATTCAGACCAATGAAGTTCTTATGAGGACCTCCATCTCCACTAGAATAAAAAAAATATATATACAGTTAGCCTTAAGTGACATCACACAACAATCTAAAAATGCTACAGTTTACAATTACAGCTGGAGAACCGATCAGAATACCATGATGCAATTGGCTAGTTAAGTGTTTGGGCTTGTTATAGCTGTTATTACAGTCAAGACAAAACATTAGTAACATGTACCCTCTCACACCTGAAGCATAAGTAGGAGAGACCAGACAGCGTGATTACAGAACAATAAGGCAAGTTCCAATCAGAGCAACAGCTGGGGTAGCCATGTCCGCTGTATTGTACTCTCTATGATTGTTAAGACGCTAAAAATTAATATTAGATTAATTAAAATATTTATTAATTAATATTATATTGGGTCTGGGTCCATTTGTGGTTTATTTCAAAAACAGGGAATTTTCAATAAAGTTTTATAGGCTCTGGCCCTCCATTTGAAAATATGACATAAAAGTGTTGAAAATGAGAAAAACACTTTTGCAAACAAAATTATCTCTTTTTAGAACGCATGTTTTGTAAGTGCATAGATTCAGTTACGTCTTGTGCATGACGTCGGGCCGGTAGAAGTAGTCAATGGGCGTGTCAAGGCGAGAGAAAATGGCGGGGGGCAGGAAGTACGGCAGCGGCTGCTCAAAGAAGTCCTGACTCTCCGGCCGTGTCAGGACGATCCTGTCGTACAGGGACATCTTACGGCCATTCTCTGGGTGTACAGCGAGGCATTGGAAGTCTGCCATTCCTAAAGAAAGAAAACTCAATATGGAGTCATATCCTCAACATCCTCAATCCTAAAATATGGACAGGTTGAAAGAAAGAATAAAAATGTGCAAATATGTGGCTTATAGCATTTGATAATATTTAAAATATTATATAAAAGGTATAAAAGGTATGAGCTGTCAAACACAGGTGTAAGACATTGCTTTTTGCTTCAGCATGCTCCAATGGGGCCTAGTTTTATTACTTTAACAAGGCTACAAAATATATATAATATACAGAATGTTTTAAAGACATATTCAACTTACTCAAAGTGAGTAAAATGTGAACAATGTGAGAAAACTATGTACCACATCAGGATGAAATAGTGTATTGATAGACTACTAGAGCAACAGCAGTCTCTCTTATTTATAGTAATCTAAAGATCCTATCTAATCTTGTAAAACATATGTGTAAATTGTGCAAAATAGAACATGCTTGTCTCCAGAGATGTTACTGCTTTGCCTAGAATGTTTCTGTGTGGCATTAAAAGTATTTACCTTGCATTTCTGCAATTACAGGTGATAAAAATGCCCTGAAAAACATACATTATTTCTATGAGCTGGATCTCTTCTATTGACCTGGAACTTGTCTTGGTGTCACAAGGAAATTGATAAGTGTAATGCAATACTGTGGAACATATAGGTAAAGCAATAACATCTCCATGGAGACAATCAAGCAGCATAGTGCGTAACACACAGTATTAAAGACACAGTAAAGATATGCAAATGTGAACAGAACTGGATTTTCTGGAGAGAATCTTTTAGCAGTAGAAAGTTTGGACTTGTTTGTGGGAAATTCTACTTTTCTAATTTCTCTACTTCTAGTTCAGTTACCCTCTCATACTGCTGCACTTCAACTAACACTATTTGTATTGGGACTAATACTCCCAACGACAACTGTAGAAGATACAGTTAGCCTTGTCTGATGTTCATGTTCATGTTCATTTCACACCCTTTCTCCCCTCTACAGTACTAGTGATGCCAAACCTTGAAACTTGTATGTCGTTCCTATGATGCCCAGTATCTCAGTCTGTATCTGCACATCCGTGGGGTCACTCTTCCTCACTCGGCGCCGCACTCGCATCAGCAGATTACTCGAGTCCAGACGGTTTCCACACAGAGAGTGACAGAAGGGGTCCTGAGGGCGCAGACGCAGCTCCAGCCGCCGGTTTGGGTTGGCATATGTCTGTGGGGAAAAACAAAGTATGGAACGGTAAATGAAAGCAACTGTACAATATATTTTACATGTTTATATCTACCTGAATATTGTGACTGTATTCCCTAATTATTGTCATTTTGTAATTTTTATGATAAAGTATTTTAGAAACATGCATACGTTCAATATAAATCAAGTAACAAATTAATACCGCAATTACTGTTTTGGAGAATAACTAGTAAAAAGTCTACAAATTGTCTGCAGAAAGGGCCTATTTATAATTTAAAAAAAATAAAAATAAAAACTTGCACCTTTCTGGCTCATTTTTGTCCATTCATATTATGTTTGACACTTTGAACTTCAACAAAGACATTTACAGGGATATGAAGAGCATTTCTCATGGATTGCCATTATTAGTCTGGTATATTGTCAAAATATTATCAAGATAACTTTTTCCTTTTTGTCCCCCCACCTAATAACATCAGTTTTATTAAGCTTTACAAGCCATTATATTTTGAGTTTGACTAGGGTAACCAGATTTTCAAAATCAAAAACTGCGACTCCCCCGGTGTGTGGTGGTTGGTAATAATAAAATTGGGAAACAAGTGGGTAATTAAGGAAAATTGTTCTGCACTTGACCCATTCTCCGGGTGTACAGCAAGGCATTGGAAGTCTGCTGTTCCTAAAGCAAGAAAACTCAATATGTCTCAGCATCCTCAAACCTAAAATATGGATGGGTTGAAAGAAAGAATAAAAATGTGCAAATATGTAGCATTTGATAATATTTAAAAGTACTACATTTAATCTGGTTAGGGTATAAAAGTTATGAGCTGCCAAACACAGGTGTAAGGCATGGTACACATTGCTTTTTGCTTCAGCATACTTTAACAAGGCTATAATATAAATGTAATACAAGAAATGTTCTAAATAAGGTGTTTTAAAGACATACTGTATTTACTCAGAGGTGAACAATGTGTGGAAACTATGTACTGCATCTATGAACTAGTTCAACTATGAACTACGTATTCATGACTAACATAAGCTAGAATAGTCACATTTTCTTTGTGTTTTGTTTATTTTCAAGCAGCTTTTCTGTATTTTACTTAAACAAATGACAATGTATACCTCTCTTTACTGTTGGCAGGGATCAAATTTGTCAAAAATAGAGACACCTGGGACATTTCTTGTATAAAACTGTGACAAATCACTGGTTTTGTATAAATCTGCAGGCACAGGGGACACAGGGCTCAAAACTGGGACTGTCTCGGCTAAATAAGGACGTCTGGTCACTCTAAGTGTGACTATGTAATAAAAACATAAGGATTTTCCAGTGCATTTATAATTTATCTGAATTTACAATGCAAAAATAGCATGAAAATATGACTTAGGCTTGTCTAGTTGGGTTTATTAAAGGAAGATTACTTAATTTATTTGCTAACATTTTAAATATATATGTTTTTTTTATAATTCTTTGCTCACTTTGGACACGGTGTGCTCTCCGCCCAGACTCTCCAAGGCTCGGTTCAGGTTCTGGATCACGGCTGGATACTCCACACACACTAGCCGGGTCCCCTGCAGCGGCAGACACGCGCAGTTCCCCGGGATCTGTGGGCTCTGGGCGGACAGGGACAGCTCCTTCAGGCTCAAATCCACCCTCGGCCCTCTCTGAGACATTTTTAACCCGTAAACCTCACCAGAAGAAACGATAATATCTGTAGTTTTATTAAAATGGGGAAATGCAAACACGGACACTTTTCAGACACGATTTCCCATAGTGGTCCTACAACAAAATAAAGTCGAGTGGACTGCGTTGGTTGACAACAAAAGGTTCCGCGTGTTTTGTTTTAGTGCACTTTTTAATCGATAAAATGTTAATGGTCATATTTAATCGATTAATTGTGACTCATTAATTAAATTTAATCTGACATGGATCCATATTCAATCATCCAACGTTTAAACCTTGTCATGTATATATATAAAATAACATTTAACACATAAACTCCGCAACAAGGAAATGTTTTGATGTTCAGTTTTGTTTTATTATTTAGGACGATAAAAAAAAAAAGAAAAAAAGAAAGAAAGAAAGGAAAGAAGAAAGAAAAAAGAAATGGACTGTACCACAAACTTACTATTGGCCGACATATTGAGCATCTTAGCCACCAGAGGGCGCTGTTGTATGGATTGTGTTTTAGGCCTCGTTTGAACTTTTTGGTATTGATTGAAAAATCTCTTAATTTTACAAACCAAAACTTGATTTTTTTCTAGCCCTATGTCACAAATTTTAGGCTTAATTACCTGGGCTTAGTATCCAGGATTCAGTATTACAAAGCCAGGAGCAATTTTATTGTATTTTATTACAATTTATCTTTTATTTATTTATTATTATTATTATTTTTATTCATTACAACTAGGCTATTATTTTTCAGTTTAGTTGCTGCAGTATCTCAAGCACCTACTGGGATCCATCCATGTTTGAAAAAAGACAAAAAGAAACAGATTTTATATTTTATTACTTATTTTTCTATTTTATTTTGACTTGTACATACACATTTATATAATTATGTTATCTTTTTGGGACTTATTTAGAATTTATTATCGCCATTTATATTTTTTATTCTTTGTTATTATATTATATTGTGAACTATGTGAAACTAAGTACTCATGATCTAAGTTCAACTATGAATTCATAACTAATAGCTAGTATAGTCACATTTTCTTTGTGTTTTGGTCATTTTTAAGCAGTTTTTCTGTATTTTACTTAAACAAGTGACAATTTATGCCTCTCTTTACTGTTGGCAGGGATCAAATTTGTCAAAAATAGGGATACCTGGGACATTTTTTGTATCAAACTGGGACAAATCACTGGTTTTGGATAAATCTGCCGGGACAGAGCTCAAAACTCAGGTAAACAGAGACGTCTGGTCGCTCTAAGTTTGACGATGTAATAAAAACATAAGGAATTTCCAATGCATTTATAATTTATCTGAATTTGTAATGCAAAAACAGCTTGAAAATATTACTTAAGCATGTCTAGTTGGGTCCATTAAAGCAAGATTACTTAATTTATTTGATAATATTTTAACTATATATGTTTTTTATTTTTCCTTGCTCACTTTGGACACGTTGTGCTCTCTTTGTTATTATATTATATTGTGATGTGTGAGCTACAGTGTCCAAATAATTTCCCTAGTGGATCAATAAAGTGTGTCAAAGTCTAAGTCTAAGTCTAATAAGGTCTATTTGAACCCAGGCTTACAAAGAAAAAGCCTCACTAATCAGATGAGAAGGGCGCAGGGCGAGGCTGCCGTGACTAGATTTGACTCCTTAACGTCAGAAGGACGAAGAGGATGTGAGGAGACGGTCGGACCCTCCCGTCAGAGCAAACATTCCCTCAGAGCAGATCTACACACACACACTGAGGATCCAGGAGCTCAGCCTCTGCCCTGTGTTGACTCTGGTTCTCGTTGGTCTTCTTTTGCCGTGGCTCCGGGGCAGAGACTAAACTGTTGACTGTCGGCTCATTTTCATCTCCACCAGCCCTGTCATGTCAACACTTTACACAGCTATTAGTGAGTGGTTATGAGTCCTTGTAAGTTGTAAGTGATAAGCAGGAGTGACGAGATTGTGGTTGCAATTCCCTGATTTAATTCGTTTGTTGCATGTTTTGTCAGAAAAACAACGATCGATGACTAATAATGCTGCTGATTAATATAGCATTTTTTTGGACACTCAAACCAACCAACCGACCAACCAACATTCACGCAACAACATATTCAGTACTAGGACATGTAGAGGAAGTGTTTTGCCTAAGGACACAACAATAATTTGCACTAGAACCACTGCTGCCCCACTGTAAAAAAAAAACAAAACAACAAAAAAACAAAACAAAGCAGACTGTTCAGCAGAGGTGGAACCAAGTCGTCGTTTTGCAAGTCTTAAGTCTTTGGCCTCAAGCCCGTGTCAAGTCCCAAGTCAAATAAAGCCAAGTACAAGTCGAGTCTCGAGTCACTGGCCCATAAGTCCAAGTCAAGTCCAAGTTGTCTGCTTTGAGCTTCAAGTCATTTCAAGTCTTTAAACCAAAGTACCAAATATAGTTTAGATTTTTGCAATTTATGACTTTTTAAGATAAATTGTGCTTATAAAGTCATAGTATATTTACATGTGAGTATTTATAAAGTATATAAGAGTTGTAGAAATGTAAACTTTTTATTTTTAAATGTCTTGACAAGATCTTAGTGTGAATCGTTACAGTCAGAATAAAACAAATTCAGATTTAAAAGTGCTCCTCAAGTCTTCTCAAGTCCAAGTCAATCCCAAGTTATTGACCTACAATTCCAAGTCGAGTCCCAAGTCTTAGTCCATTTTATCAAGTCGAGTCTCAAGTCCCAAAAATAGTGACTCAAGTCTGACTAGAGCCAATCCCCAACTCTGCTCTTTAGCCAAAATTATGGAAAAAAAGAAAAATAATCACTTGTTAGTTTAAAAATTTCATGCAAGAACACAAACTGCCTACAGAGGCGAGTTGTAATAATCACTTGTGTTTATTCGAAAATTTTTTGATACAGAAAATATAAAATGAGTAAAAGTATCTCATTTAAAACGTACTTTAAGAGTAAAACAAATGTCATATATTTTGAGAAATGTTAAAGCGTTGTGAGTTTGATTGTTGCTCTGTCAGTTTGCTGTTCTTCACCCTAAACTAATAAAGCCTAAGGGACAAATAAATAATAGTAATGAAGAGATAATGATGAAGAATTGTGCAGATTTGTCAACAGTGGCTCTTCAAATAATTGTAAGAATTAAGAATTAATATTTGCTAAAGGCAGGACTTGAGCTCAAAATGTAAAAGTAACGGAAAATAAAGTAAAGTAAAGTAAAGTAAAGTAAAAAAAAAACAGTTATAGTATATTTTAATATCTAAGAGTTGTTCTTAAAGGGATAGTTCAGAATTTTGGACATGGGGCCTAATTTCCTAGTGAGCCAGAGTGTTGTAGATATGTGTAGACACTTTTTGAAACAATTCATCCAGTCCTTGTATTTACAGATGTCGGTGGTGCTAGGCTAGCGCAAGTCAATGGCCATAGTTAGCCTGCCACTAAAAACAGTCTTACCCACTCCACAAAACACCCACAGGAAATCTATTATTACACCAGACTGTCCATGTAAATGTCTGTGTTGATAGAATAATTTTAGAAGTAAAACCAACCTTGCATTTGAAGGATTTATGTCTGAGCAGCAGCAGTGAGCTGTGGCGGAATGATATCACCTAGTGCCAACTGGCTCTGTAATAAAAATGTCTGTTTACGTGCAGTTGCCATAGCGACACATAGAGCACATGAAGAAGCCTGTTCCAGTTATGACCACGTTCACATCATCACAACTAACTAAAGCAGAGTAAAATTCCACTTGCTGCTGAGAAAATAGTCCCTCAACATGTGACAATTCATGCAATACAAGGTTAGTTTTACTTCTAAAATTATTCTATCAACACAAACATTTACATGGACAGTCTGGTGTAATAATAGATTTGCCTCGGGTACACTGTGGCGTGGGAAAGACTGTTTTTAGTGGCAGGCTAACTATGGCCATTGACTTGCGCTAGCCTAGCATCAACAACCTCTCCAAATACAAGGACTGGATGGAATATTTCAAAAAGTGTCTCCACATGTCTCCAACACTCTGGCTCACTAGGAAATGAGGCTCTATGACCAAAATTCTGAACTGTCCCTTTAAGCTTACACAGTACTTTGTCAGATGACACAACTGATTTTATTCTATTCCTTGGAAATAAAACCTGTAAAATTTGACAACACATAACTTTCACCTACCTGAATAACATTTAACTTTCACTACCTTTTACTTATACTTATAGAGTATTTTTTGAAAGAAATAGTGAACTCTTTCTTAGACTTCACTCCCTGGCCTGTTCCTCTAACCCCCTCTCATGTGACAGACTTGACTGACAATCTGTTGCGTGCTGTGGTCACTTTATGATTTGTCAGTTATATTTTTGCCCTGCTGTCTCAAACCCACACTATTACCCCCGCGTCCTATCTCCGTCCCCAGCCCCCTGCCCCTCCTCGCCGCTCCGAGCCCGGGTCCGACCGTTACAGCGTGTCCCTGGTTGATAAGTGTAATCTGCACCATAGGCTGTGCTCCTCAGATTCAACCCCCCCCTCCCTCCCTCCCTCCTCCCTGCCCTCGCTCTGCCTGCCCCGGCGCTCCACAGCTGGGGTAGGAGAGGAGCAGAGCAGGGCTGGGATTGGTGGAGCGGAGCCACGCCTCCTCGCACAGGTGTAATCTCTCGGCAAATGCAAAAAAGACAGATTGTATCCTGAGAAGTTTGAGTAATGTTTGAATATAGACTCGCTGTCAAGTCACGAACATGAAGAAGAGAGCTGCAAGGTTAAGTTTTGATGATGTTTTGTCATCAATGACAAACAGACCTGGAGTTGTGTTTACTTTCATCCACACGTTTAACACACAAACCCTGCAGATTTAGGTTCTTCGCTCAAAACAGAAAATGCCAGACACCGACCATTGATCAGTGGAGATCAAAAATCAGACAAGTTTATACAATGGAACTGTTAACGGCTCAAGAACAGCTCAAGGTGCCAACTTTTGAAAAGAGGTGGGGTCCAGTGATTGACTTTTTCAAATAACACTCATGCCCTAACATGCCATGGGGGGGAGGAGTAAATATATAAATTGTGTGATGGCCCGGTTTCAGGACACTGTTGATGTGAAATGATTTGTGGCAATAAAAAAAAAATGCTGTTACACCTTAT